CACTATACACTTATTAGCATCACGTTTAGCACACACATTTTAACTAACCTTAGTGTTCATGATTGTTACTTCTCAAGGAATGAGTGATGATGTACCTACTGCTGTCCTTTATATACCAAAGTCAATGTCCATTTGTACTAGTTTTTATACATACTGATAACTGACTATCGGTGCCAGGTACCGGAATCTTCCGAAGAGCTGAAATACATGTACAAGGTCAGTCACGCGTTTATGGGCGTCGTCAGTATAATTATGTAAACTAAAGTTTTTTTTGTAAAATCAATACCTTATTCTAAAAACAGTAATGAAAGTGGCACTCTCGTTATTGCTACTATAACTATTATTACCACTATTACTACTACTAATGATAACGATAAAGATAATAAATATAATGATAAACTTGCATACACGAGATTTTGTTACTGAACTTCTTGGTGTTTTTACTTGCCTTGTAATGCAGTGGATATAGGAATACATTACAATGAAGGTGTGTATTGTATCATTAACAAGTCTGTAAATATACTAATATTATGGTATTATGGTACGTTCAAGTATTCGGCAAGATGAAATATATGTATATCATTTTGCTTATCAATTACTTTCAAGTCATGGTGTAATTTCTTTTAGCAGAACTTCAATCATTTTCAAATAAGCTATCATATGGAAAGAAAATCTATATAACTAAAACATAATAAGTTTTGTTTTTATTATTTTCAGGAGAATTAAGTATATATTATGATAATTTACGTTTCAATGTATTTCTTACTTAATTAAGAGACATTACTTATTGATAGATTTTAGACGTTCTAAATAGTTTAACATTTAATTTCCACCAGATAGTTGCCGCTAATGACCTTAGATGTTGACGCGGCAGATAATTTAAGTAACCAATTAATCTATAGGATTTTCGCTTTCTGTGGAGAGAGGATACGGCGCAATGGATACACTGTCCTATCACTTGCCTTCACTGCTCTGTGGCCTTCCTCTTTTATCATCCTTGTTATTAGCGTCGTGAAAGGGTATTATGTATTACCATTTCATCTAAATCATTTGTTGTCTTTAGGATATAACATATTCTTTGCAATGTAAAACGTGGCAATACTTACACTGAACAAGTATTGCGGTACCTCCAGAACCTAACAGTCTTATTCATATGTGTGATTGCTGGCCCTCGAGGGTTTGAGGTAGGGGTAGGGTAGTGAAGGGTTGGGTATGTAGGGGGCTAGGTGGTTAAGAAGGATTAGTCATAGTCCACGATTGTCACCATGCTTGTGCAATCTGTAATGATTATGTTAATAAATTAATGGAAATCCATTTGGCTGATAAATCAGTCACACTTAAGGCTTTGATAAAAAAAAAAAAAAAAAAAAAAAATCAATAATACCTTGTTTAAATCTTCCAGTATGGGACGTGTATCAGGTAACATTTTGTCTATATCATGTTTTTTTTTTTATCAGTTCATCAATAATAGTCTCAACGGAGTTTTCATTCTTACGTCTGCCTCTCGATAACTGTGTAGTAAGGGTCACAGCACAGGTTCACATTTGGGGCATAAGCATGGACACTACTTTGTACTGAGATACCAAGACAAATATTATTTTCCTGTGATTTTATTTTATTATTTTTAAACTTAGATTGCTCCACCATTCCTTTGTCACTAGTCTCGGTTGTTTACCCTGTTCCTTGATTTTTGTATTCTTTATATTACATGGTCATTGGTAAAGCCGAATCTAAAGAATTTATATGGCTTTAAAAGAAATAATTAGCTGTAGAACAAAAGTGAGTAGCTTGTAATATTTTATTTACAATATACATTGTATCACTATTACAACATTTGTATAACTATTACACAAACAGCTGTCGAAATCGCTATATGGTTAAATTCTCATTTTAAGAAAAGGTAAAGGTGCATTTAAAAATATTTTAAACAAAATTATGCATAATTGTAATTTTTAACTTTTCAAGAATATTAGTGCTTTCATTTTAATATTTTTTATTTCTTATTTTTCCATGCAAAAGACTTTTTTTTCTTAATAGATCTTCCAACGTATTAAATATTCTATTTTTAAATCGAAGGTATTCGCCACTAATGCCCTTAGCTGTTGGCGCGACAGATAAAAAAATAACCAATAATCTTCTTTGTTTAGTTCATTTCCAATAGTAATAAGCACTGATAAAGAAAACACGCCCTGAGTTGTGTCCACGTTATATTTAGTAATAAATACACATTATATATTTTATATATTAAAAAAAGAAAAATCCTTGTCCGTTATCATTATTCAGAGGTCAAATATCTGACGATTTACTTGGACTCGTTGGAGTCATAGGTATAGGCTGGCCTTGGTGGCCTGTATTCCCGGGACTCGAAGGAAGCAGACTCATACGAGTCGGGGAAACGAGCTTCGCCCTCGTAGTTCACCTCGGCCACGTAGCCATCGTCACCGTCTACGACGTACTTGACGTTCTGCAGACGGGTGTCGGGAAGCCTCACGTAGTAGGATCCCTGAGTATGTTCACCGTCACGGGCTTCTTCGTGGCCGAAGTCGTTGCCAGAGTCTTCGTGCTGAACGGCATAATTAAAGTCGTATTTGGCCTCCCCTGACTCAAACGACTCGAATGACTCTTCGGAAGAATCCTGAAAAGTAACATTTTAGAAGAATTACATGATCTGTCTTATGATATGCTGTTGGTTGAAATATTGCCATATTCTCTATCCTTCGTATAATTAGTTTAACCTCTTCATATCGAATTAACTTTGCCGGGATTTACCTTTTGATACAATGAATGGGTCACACTTACCCGAGGATGTCCATAAGCGAAAATCTCTGGGTTGTCTGCAGCAACAACGGCTGCCAGACCAAGAAGAATGAATACCTATAGTGAAGGAATTATCAGTAAATTGGGTACTCTCGACAATGCCAACGTTGCTTCTACATCGCACACTTATTAGCATCACTTTAGCACATACACTTCAACTAACCTTAGTGTTCATCATGATTGTTACTTCTCAAGGAATGAGTGATGATGCACCTACTGATGTCCTTTATATACCAAAGTCAATGTCCATTTGTACTGGTTTTTATACATACTGCTAACTGCCCATCGGTGCCAGGTACCGGAATCTTCCGAAGAGCTGCAATATATGTACAAAGTCAGTCACGTGTTTATGGGCATCGTCAGTATAATTATGTAAACTAAAGTTTCTTTTCGAAAATCAATACCTTATTCTAAACACAGTAATGAAAGTGTCATTCTTGTTATTGCTACTATAACTATTATTACCACCATTACTAATAACAGTAATACCGTTAATGATAATAAATATAATGATAATCTTGCATACACCAGATTTTATCACTGAACTTGGTGCTTTTACTTGCCTTGTAATGCATTGGATTTAGGAATACAATACAATATTGTATCATTAACAAGTCTGTAAATACACTAATATGGTATTATGGTACGTTCAAGTATTCGGCAGTATCATTTTGCTTATCAATGTGACAATTGTTTTCAAGTGCAAAGGTCATAGCGTAATTTCTTTTGGCAGACCTTCACGGCAGTGACAATCATATAGAAAGAAAATCTATATAAGTAAAACATAATAAGTTTCGTTTTTATTATTTTCAGGAAAATTAAGTATATATAATGATCATTTACCTTTCAATATATTTCTTATTTATTTTTACTTACAAGGCATTACTTATTGATAGATTTTAGACGTTCTAAATAGTTTAACATTTAATTTCCACCAGATAGTCGCCGCTAATAACCTTAGATGTTGACGCGGCAGATAATTTAAATAACCAATTAATCTATAGGATTTTTGCTTTCTGTGGAGAGAGGATACGGCGCAATGGATACACTGTCCTATCACTTTCCTTCACCGCTCCGCGTCCTTCCTCTTTTATCATCATAGCGTCGTGAAAGGGTATTTTATATTACCAATTTATCTAAATCAGTTGTTGTCTTTAAAATATAACATATTCTTTGCAATGTAAAACGTGGCAATACTTACACTGAACAAGTATTGCAGTACCTCCAGAATGAATTAGCAAACACCTAACAGTCTTATTCATATGTGTGATTGCTGGCCCTCGAGGGTTTGAGGTAGGGGTAGGGTAGTGAAGGGTTGGGTATGTAGGGGGCTAGGTGGCTAACAAGGATTAGTCATAGTCCACGATTGTCACCATGCTTGTGCAATCTATAATGATAATGTTAATAAATTAATGGAAATTCATTTGGCTGATAAATCAGTCACACTTAAGGCTTTGATAAAAAAAAAAAAAAAAAAAAAAATCAATAAGATCTTGTTTAAATCTTCCAGTATGGGACGTGTATCAGGTAACATTTTGTATATATCATGTTTTTTTTTATCAGTTCATCAATAATAGTCTCAACGGAGTTTTCATTCTTACGTCTGCCTCTCGATAACTGTGTAGTATGGGTCACAGCACAGGTTCACATTTGGGGCATAAGCATGGACACTACTTTGTACTGAGATACCAAGACAAATATTATTTTCCTGTGATTTTATTTTATTATTTTTAAACTTAGATTGCTCCACCATTCCTTTGTCACTAGTCTCGGTTGTTTACCCTGTTCCTTGATTTTTGTATTCTTTATATTACATAGCCATTGGTTAAGTCGAATCTAAAGAATTCATATAGCTTTTAATAAGCACTGATAATGAAAACACGCCTTGAGCTGTGTCGACGTTATATTTCGTAATAAATACACATTATATATTTCATATACTAAAACACGAAAATCCTTGTCCGTTATCATTATTCAGAGGTCAAATACATGACGATTTACTTGGACTCATTGGAGTCATAGGTGTAGGCTGGCCTTGGTGGCCTGTATTCCCGGGACTCGAAGGAAGCAGACTCATATGAGCCTCGCCCTCGTAGTTCATCTCGGCCATATAGCCATCGTCACCGTCTACGACGTACTTTGTTAATTTGTTAATAATAACTTCGGCAATAAGAAAACACGCG